GTCAGTGTGCTCCCACAGCTAAACTCTCGTGGTCACTCCACCCAGTCTGCTGCCCTGAACTGCCCAGATCAGGATCTGGACTGGGCAAATGGCTCCGAACAGCTCCCATTGCCTGCCAACCTAGGGGACCCACCTGTGAAGGTATTCGTACACTGAGCCTCTAATTTAATGATAAAAAGAAATCAGATATCAAGCCACAGAAAGACATGGAGGAAGCTTAAATGTATATTACTGAGTGAAAGAAGCCAATCTGAAAAGGCTGTCTGAGTCCAACTGCAGTTAGACAACATAGGTTTGACACAGAAGCATTCACTTATATGCAGATATTTTCCCAATAAATACAATTGGCTCTTCTTATCAGTGGGTTTCACATCTGCTGATTGAAACAATCATGGATCAAAGCCAATTTTTTTTTTTTTATTCCAAACTGTGGTTTCCCAATTGCAGATTCCCAACTGTACACCCTAAATACTGTTTTGGATCCTTAGTTGATTGAATCTGCTGATGCAAAGGACTGATTGTAGAGTCAACAGTTATATTCAGATTTTCAATTGTTCAGGTTCAATGCAACTTACTTAACTCCCCATTAAGGGTTAACTTCATATGACCTGGAAAAGGCAAAAATATGGGAACAGTAAAACAATCAGTGGTTGCCATGGGACTGAGATGGGATGAATAGGTCAAGCACAGAGGACTTTTTTTAAAAAAATATATTTTATTGATTTTACACAGAAAGGAATTGAGAGGGACAGAGAGTTAGAAACGTCGATGACAGAGAAACATCGACCAGCTGCCTCTTGCACCTCCCCCCCCCCCCCCCACTGGGGATGTGCCCGCAACCAAGATACATGCCCTTGACCAGAATCGAACCCGGGACCTTTCAGTCCGCAGGCCGACGCTCTATCCACTGAGCCAAACTGGTCCCAGCAAACACAGAGGACTTTTAAGGCAGTTAACCTACCATAACGATGAGTACGTGTAATTATAAATTTGTTCAAACCCATAGAATGTACACCAAGAGTGACATGGACTTTGAGCAATAATGATGTGCCAATGTAGGTGCATCAGTTGTAACAAATGCACCACTAAGGTGGGGAAAGGCTGTACAGATGTAAGGTAGGAGATGTATTAGAAATAACTATATCCCCCTCCAATTTATCTGTGTACTTAATACTTCTCTCAAAAAAAATAGTCTTAATCAAAAGAAGAATGCTTTGTGGAGACACAGAAAATGCAAAAATCCAATTTGAATTATCTAAGATAGAAAATAAAATATATGAGGTGAAAGATACAGTGACTTGAATCAATAGATTAGATATTACAAAATAAAAAGTTGCTAAATTTAAACACATAGCAATAAAAATAATCCAAAGTGAAGTACAGAGGGAAAGAAAGAGATGGAGAGAAAGAAAAACCAAAGCATCTTTGGGCTGTGGGCAACCTTGAGAGATCTAATACACATACACATGTGGAATCTCCAAAAGGTGGGCGCAGAAAGAATATTTAAAAAAAAAAATGGCCAAAACTTTTTCAAATTTGAAGAAAACAGCAGACCTACAGTTTTATGTAGCTCATCAAAGCTTAAGCACAAACACATAAAGAAAACTACACCATGGCACACCATAATTAAGTTGTACAAATGAATAAAGCAAACAAAGTCATAAACTGAGGGTGGGAAAGGGCAAAGAAGGTCAAATGTATGGTGATGGAAAAGATTTAACTTTGGAGGAGGGCACAAAATGCAATATTCAGATGGTATTTTGTAGGATTATACACTTTAAACTTATTATACATAACTTTATGAAGTAATGTCACCCCAATAAATTTAATTTTTAAGAAATCAAGTAAAGGAAAAAATAAAGACATGTACAGAGGAACAAAAATGAGCACCACAGATTTTTTTTAAAATCAAAAACAAAACAAAAAACACAATTCAAACATAAAGACATTGGAGCAATTTCTTCAGAGTAAAGTTTTAAAATGGCACTCAGAAACATATGATCTTTTCAATAGATGTAGTAAAAGCTTCAGGTAAAATACAAAATCCATTTCTGAACAAAACTCTTGGCATATTGGGAATAGAAGATGGATAAATGGCATCTACAATGAACCTACAGCTAATATCATAGTTAATCAATAATATGAGCCATCTAAGATTGAGAACAAGGCCAGGATGTCTGGTCTTATCATTCCCATTTAGCCAGGGATATAGGGCAATCAAAATTATATCAGGCTTTTTTTAATGCATGTGGGTAAAAAAATGATGTCTTTTATAAAATTCATATGGAAATAATTCAAAGATTCTAAAATAGCTTAAATAACTTTGAAAAAGTTAGAGGAATAACACTACCTGATTTTGAGACATAAAGGAAAACTTTAGTAATCAATAACTTGTGGTATTGGCATACAGATGGATAAATACATCAGTGGAAGACAATAGGTAATTCAGAAATATATCCACACATATAGAGAGAGCTGAATTTCAATGAACGTACAAAAGCAATTTAGCAGAGAAAAGATAGTACTTTTAAAATATCCATATATAAAATGATGAGATTGAGCCTATAACTTACACTATATTCATAAATTACATCAAAATGCATCATAGATATAAATGTAAAACATGAAACTATAACATTTATACAAATGCAAAACCAAAAATTGGTACAATATTTGAACACTTACCTAAAAAAGATGGATAGCTCATAAAAAGATGTTTAAAGTCATTAGCCATTAGAATAATGTAAGATACCACTACACACGTATTAGAATGAGTAAAATTTAAGACTGATTTTATTAAGTATTGGACATATTTTTATGAACTAGAATTCCCATATAGTAATAGTGGAAATGTAAAATGGTGCAACCACTTGTGAAAGTATTTTAAAAATTAAATATATTCCTATTACATATCCAGTTATTCTATGTAAACATGTGTCCATACACATATGTATGCACAAGTCTTTTTAACCGTTTTATTTTTAATAACTGTTTATTTTTAATAGCTAAAGCATCCATCATAAAATGAATGCATAAACTCATATTTTGATATAACAGTGCCTAGCAAAAAAAAAACACACAAAAAACCCCACAAAAACTGTTCCTAAACCCTATAACATGGATGGATCTCAAAGTAACTGCTGAGTGGAACCACACAGAAGAAGAGTCATACTGAATTACCTATTTGTATTAAATTCTAGAAAATGAAAAATTCCCGCTAGCATGGGAAAGCAGCTCAGTGACTGCTTTGGCTTCAGGGAGTTCAGTGATGGCTTCAGGGCATGAGGGGCTTTTTGAGGTGGTGGGGATGCTCATTATCTTGTCTGTGGTGATGACTTCATGGAGGTATACATATATCAAAATGTAAAATTGTACCCTTTCAATATGTGGATTTTATGCTTTGTCAGTTATACCTTAATAAAGCCGTTTTTACACTTTAAAATGTCCATCTTCTCCTGAGAAAGCTCTAGCTGCATTGCATCGGGACGACGGCACCGTGACAGAAGCTGTCCCTGTTCTATCAGTCACCTGCTGTCAGGCTTGCCACAGTCCCTGTCCCTCCCTTTTGCTGCTGGTATTTTGTTTTATGCATTTACTTGACTGCCTTAGGAATTTGAATTCGCGTCTAGTGATTGATTTCTTGTCTTCTGTTAGAAAGCAAGGAAATATTATATGAAATGAAACAAGCCAGTAAGTATCATATGATCTTACTTATATGCGTAAGCTAATGAACAAAATAGATTAACAAAAAAATAGAAACAGACTCGTAGACAGAGAACAAACTGGCAGCTGTCAGAGGGAGCTGGGTTGCAGGGATGGGTGAAAAAGGTAACGGGATTCAACAAAACAAACAAACAAACAAACATCAAAAAAATATTTTAGACATAGACAACAAAATGATTATGAGAGAGAAAGTGGGACTCGTGGAGGTTGAAGAGAATAAAGGGGAGATCAATGGGTAAATGGTGATAAAAGGAGACTTGACTTGGGATGGTGGAAACACAATACGCAGAGGATGTACTATGGAATTGTACACATTAAACCAAAGTGATCTCAATAAATTCAATTAAAAAATAGAATAGTTACTCCCATTAGTCTTTAAGGAAGAAACAATCCAATTCCCTTAACTCAGTCTATGGTATTCTCTGTTATGGTATGACTCAGACTATGGTATCCTCTGTTCTTTGGTCTCAAGTGATTTTCCAAACACATTTCTTATCAGCCTCCATACACAAGACACTCTATATCTCTTACACACTATTGCCCACATTCCCAAACAAGCTGTTTGTGTTGGGATTGCTTGCTTAGCATGCTAATGAGATCCATTTTGAAACTATTAGCAAAGAAAATAGGGAGAAAAAAAAAAAGACTGCCTTTATATTCATGGTTAGGGATTTTCGTTTCTACCAAATAATTATTGGAACTCATTTTATGTCTCTTCAAGAAGGATTTGAAAAAATAAATAAATAAAAGAATCCTTGAGAGAAAAAAATGATTTCTTGCTGTTTGGTACAAGACATAAGAGATTTAAAAATAAATGACCTGGGAAAATGAGAGGTTGTAAAAGTTATGAGCAACCATTCCATCAGCACAGGCTGGTATATATGTGATGGGCCAGGTGTTATCCAAAGTCTCTCATTATCTTTAGCCATAAATCTTCAGATGTCAAATATTGTTGAATCAAGCCTGTGATTCCTAGCGATGTTAGGTCAACCTGTTACAGATAAGGTTGCAATCTTTTTTCCCCCCTGCAAAGTCACCCAAATGCTGTCACATTTTTCTTATTTGAAATATTCTTCTTATCACTTGCTTCCAAAGCTGAACAATAAATAATAACTATCTTGAGAGCATTAAGAGAGTTTATAACATTAGTTTTATTCTTTCTGTAATTTGCATAAATACTATCAACATGAGATAACTGCTTTTATATCTTGCATGCCTGTCTCAAATGCTTACTCAGATGTTATATTATTTGTAATAGTTTTGCATTATATACTCACAAATAAAACTTCTCATCCCATACAGGATTCAAATTTCCAAAAATGGTTTTAGTTCTTCTTTTGTTCTTTCCAACTTGAACCGTAACATATGGATCACTGGACCCAGTCTTGTCTTTTGCCTGCAACCCTTGTGCAGAAACCACTGAAATAACAAAAATAAACATTTTAATATAAAGGTTTCCCCAGAAACAAATAATAATGAAGGGAACTTTTCTATCACTTTGTCCCTGATTTTGAAGATGCATCCCTACTGCGTTTATTCTCATGAGCAGCACGACTTTTAAAAAATGTTTAAATACCAGGATACACTATACATTAAAATCTTCCTTTGGACTAATATGCTTTTGCCTGTAGTGAATATGAATTGTATTCATCAGAGGCCTGCATTGGTGGGGTCCCTCAACCTGGCCTGCGCCCCCTCGCTATCAGGAACCCCTCAGGGGCCAGGCCTGCGGGGGATAGGGCCGAAACCAGCAGTCCGACATCCCCCCGAGGGATGTAGTAGTGCACAAAGTGGCAGGCAGCAGGGGAGGAGCCTGAGCCAGGCCTGGTGCCATGCAGCTCCCACTTATCTGGGCCCCGCTTGGCCTGCCACCACTGCCAGAGGCGAGATAGGCTGCAGCTGCACTCACAGCAGTGAGTCAGGCTTCTGGCTGAGCGGTGCTCTAACTATGGGATCACACTGACCACCAGGGGGCAGCTCTTGCATTGAGCATCTGCCCCCTGGTGGTCAGTGAGTATCATAGTGACCAGTTGAACAGTAGCTTAGGCTTTTATATCCTATATAATAAAAGCCTAACATGGAGATCGACAATGGTGGACCAGTGGAAGGACTGGTCTCTATGAGGCACACTAACCACCAGGGGGCAGACACTCAATGCAGGAGCTACTCTCAGCCCGCAGACCCCAGGCCAGCCAAGGTAGGTAGGTGCCAGTGGGGGGCCCCCCACCCCCAATCACCCCGTTGGTAGCTCTGCAGTTGGCAACCAGTGGTGGCAGTGGGGATGGAGCCGGCCGACAAGCAGGCAGGGCCAACCAGCTAAGGTGGGTTCCAGCAGTGCCCCCCACCCCCTGACTGCCCCACCGGTTGCCCCACAGGTTGGCTCTTATCACCTGCCAGGCCTAGGGACCCTATACATGAATGAATTTCATGCACTTATTTACACAGTGGTATAAATGTATGTCTGGTTACATATATATATATATATATATGTATATATATATTGCTACATACATCTACAGAGAAATAACCATGCACACACAATATCCAAAAATTTCCCCCAAATAATTCAAAGGCCCATAATTTAAATTTATTTATTTATGAGTTTGTTGTCAGTACTGATCAATTCAACCCTATAAAAGAATCATCTTTATTCTACCTTGTAAATACTATATCAGTAAGTTAAGAGCTTGGTAAATCTTAGCATAATAAATAACACACCTACTGTTAATGTTACAAGCAACCTCAGAAGTTCAAATTACTAGACATCACTAAACTCAAATTTTCTTGACTCAAAGATCAAATGGATGAGAGTTATTGATCCAGGATAAGTAAAATGTTATTTGTTTTCTTATTAAGAAAAACTGGCTGAGGAGATTATTGAGTACTCTTGCAATTTATTTTTTTGCAGGAAGCAACCAAGCTAATAATCTTTTACAAAGTGCAGGATATTGATGGGTGTATTGTAAAACAGAACCTTCTTCTGCTGGAAGAGCTTTCGATTAGATCAAGACATAGCTTTTGATTAAACAAAACACAGATAGAATGAGACATTACTTCAGTTATCCATTATATATTTTAGAAATTTGAAGTACCAATTAGACTTCTTGTCAACATTGACAAGATTGAAAATTATAATTATTTTATCTGCAATTATTTTAAGCAGTGATTTCTAAGACATAAAAACTCAACGCTGGACAAAAAAAGTTTTAAAGATTTGTTTTTACCTGTAATGGTTATTTTTGCTGACCACTTAGATGTCCCATCCAATACACTCTGTTTGGCTGCCTTTGTGTACTGAATAAAATCCTCTTTAGAAATCTGAAACATTTCTTGAATTACTTCAAAAACCTCTGGCCTATTTTTTTCCCTGATCTTCATTCTTTCCTTCATAGCTGAAATAATAGTCTGAGTCTTGTCTTCCGCACCATGCTTAGAACTCTTCTCTGCCGCTCCTATAATGGAAAAATCAACAGTGGGGTAAATGTGTGTCTGGCTACTCTTAGGTGGCCCAAGAAATGGAGGAAAAGGAGGAGGAACATGAGAGTGAATGAATGCTTTTATTCTGAGGAGTCAGAGTAGCTTTTTTGGAAAATATGAGTACAAGGCACAATGCTGAGATTCAGGCAATTTGTGTTTTTGGCAAGTGAGTGTACTTCATTGAGCCCTAGTTTTCTCACTTGTACTATTGGAATAAATCAGGGGTTGTGCAAATATTTGGTTTGAGTTTTTAATAACAAAATTGAAAGCCTCTCAAAAGAATAAACACAATCAAATGTAATATATACTGTACACATCTATTAAATGGATAACCAAATCAAATAGAAAATATATATGGCAAATATAACTCAAAATCAATATCTCAAATACTTGTGTCCATCCAAAGTGTCTAATATTCTTGTTGATGCAATTTATCAGAATTAAATGATTAATTTTTTTATAAAATAAAAGCCACCACTATTGGTTGTATTTTGAAATACAGAGTAACATCATACTTGAAATAAAAATGATTCTGCTGTTTAAAAAATATTTGAAAACCACTGGGCTAGAAAACCTCTAAAGTATTGGAGAGACCATAGACTTATCCTATCTGATAAAAGAGTAATATGAAAATTTACCATCACTCCAAGACACAAGATGGCCACTCCCATGTGGTCAAAGATAGCTGTCACTCCCATGTGGTCACAAGATGGCCAGCAGAGAGGAGAGTTGGGGGGTTGGGGGCAGGCATGCAGAGGAGGGCAGTTGGGGCAGGGACTCAGGAAGCAGGGCAGGGAGGTTGCGGGGGGGACCAGGCCTGCAGGGCATGGCAGTTGGGGGTGACCAGTTCAATAGGGAAGGGCAGTTAGGGGTGACTATGCCAGCAGGGAAGGAACGTTGGGGGTGGGGGAGACCAGGCCTGCAGGAGAGGGTAGTTAAGGGTGACCAGGCCAGCAGGGGAGGGCAATTGGGGGCAACCAAACTTGCAGGTGAAGGCAGTTAGGGGTGACCAGGTCGGCAGGGGGAGGGTATTTAGGGGCAATTGGGCCTACTGGGGAGCAGTTAGGCATTGATCAGGCTGGCAGGGGAGTGGTTAGGGGAGGATTAGGTTGGCAGGCAGAAGCAGTTAGGGGCAATCAGGCAAAGGCAGGTGAGCAGTTGGGAGCCAGCAGTCCTGGATTATGAGAGGGATGTTCCAGATTGGAGAGGGTACAAGCTTGGCTGAGGTATAACCCCCTCCCCCCATGCATGAATTTCATGCATTGGGCCTCTTAGTTGTTCAGTTGTTCTATAATAAGGCCATGGTTTTGAACAGACTGAATTCTCACTTTCCACTCAAAAACTCTTTATTTTTTTCTAGGACTTTTTTTATTTTTTATGATTGATCTTAAATTTCTGGTTTTTGTTTGTTTGTTTGTTTGTTTGTTTGTTTTTAACACAAATCCTTCCGGCAGTGAAGTATGTCGAATAGTTCATTTTTGGGTCCCTCACCTTTTCTAATTACCAGCCAGATATTCTCTGTGCTTTGTCTAGCCTTTGGGTTGCTCAGTATTACAGAACATGTAACTAGTGAACCATGATTTCAACTCTCACAGTTTTTCAGTGAGTTTGAAGTGAGAGAGCAAAAGCCCATTTATAGCAACTGCCACTGCTGAAAACAAGTGTTTTGTTTTTGTTTTTTGTGTTTTTTTTTTTGGGGGGGGGGCAGAAGCATTTAAGATGTAGTAAAAAGAATAAAAATTTGTGTTCATAATTAATAATTATTCCAATAGTCCTCTACCCAAGGATCCCACCGTGTATTAGATTTATTGAAATATTATGTTTCTGAAAATAGATATATTCATACAATATTTCATAAGATGTTAAGATTAAATGGGATAAGTTATCTGCACAATTCCTCCTAAAAGGATAGCCTCAGTAATGTTCTTTGAATTGAATTTGTTGAATCTTAAGCCAATTTATGTATAGAAGCTAAAAGAGAAAAGGTCAACTACTAACTTTTTTTTTATAAATTCATATACAATTTGACAGTAGTCATTTAGTGAAAATCTTTATTAATTTGAAGGTATGACATTTATTTACCAAAGTGGAAAAATTTATTAATAATAATCAAGGTGTAATTAGAGACAGTTAAAAGAGAGGGCCAGTCTGCTGGTAGAAAGAACAGATTCCCAGGCTTTATCCTATATAATAATAATATAAAAAACACACAAAAGAATCTTTGAGGACAAGTCAAAATTTTAAAATAATAGTACTATAAATTAGTGCATTCCACTTAAAATAACTTGCCATTCTAAATGCCCTAGTCCTCTGTTAAAACATGCCCTAGAACAGCTACCCATTCGTAGATTTTGTACCATTAAGCAATTAAGCATTTTTGTAATTTTTTAATAACTGTGGACCAAAAGGTGCCACATACTAAACCTGACAGGCTCAGGAAAAGCCTTCTTGGCTGCCTTACAAACTCAGAGACCTCAAGTAACCACATAGGATGGAGTGAAGTTAACTCTCTTTTAAAAGCACTGCATGGCAGTAGTCATGTCCTAGGGCACCATTTTTCCCTAACAAAAGTCACTCTTAACTGATGCAGTCTCCTGTGTTTGCATCTAGGATAACATACCTGATAAACATGCTTTGTACCAACAAAATAATTTCCCCTCCAAGCACAATCACTGCACCTGAGCAAAGAACACAAATCCCCTCATTCTCATTGTTATTGTGTTAATTGTTAACTGCTAACTGTCCTGTACTCCCCTGAGTAAAATAAATGTGTCTATCATTTTATTTTTATTCAATTCCCGACGTTTCCTCCTGTCCCTCACTTTACTTTCTTTCTTTCTTTCTTTCTTTCTTTCTTTCTTTCTTTCTTTCTTTCTTTCTTTCTTTCTTTCTTTCTTTCTTTCTTTCTTTCTTCTTTCTTTCCTTTCTTTTTTTTTTTAATATATTTTATGGATTTTTTACAGAGAGGAAGGGAGAGAGATAGAGAGCTAGAAATGTTGATGAGAGAGAAACACCGACCAGCTGCCTCCTGCACACCCCCTACCGGGGATGTGCCCGCAACCAATGTACATGCCCTTGACCGGAATCAAACCTGGGACCTTTCAGTCCCCAGACCGACACTCTACCACTGAGCCAAACCAGCTTCGGCACCCTCACTTTACTTTCTCCTGCCTCCCTAATCTATCACCAATAGATTTCATGTCATCCACTTATGCCTCCTCTTTTGATTTTAATGCATAAAATAAGATGCAAAAGCATCATTTTCTGAAGCATTTTCTTAGTCCCTGGAGGCTTTGCTTCCTGGCAGTTGTCATGAGTTTGCCTCAAATAAACTCATAAAATTTCTTACAGGTTTGGATGTTGCTGACGTTGCATAACTTCACAGTATATAATTCTTACACAGCAAAATTAACGAAGGCCAGACTAACCACTGGTTGCAATTGTTACCACTGTAACTTGCTAGTTCATATTAATAACAGGAAGAGAGCAAAGGAGAGGGCAGACATTGTAACATAGTCCTCTGGGAAGCTTCACCAGGAAGCTGTAGTTTTACACACTCCACGGAACCACAGATCTATTCCCTGTAAAACACTGGGCTAGGGGTCCAACAAAGGGGAAGATGGGCACATGTGCAGGGAAGCCAAGGTGACATATGACAGGTGCGTGTCAGTCAGTGAAACCTGGGAGAAGGACAACGGACTAGGGGAGTGGAGCCACTACAAGCACACAAAATCCTGAAGGGTTTTTGGTTAGGCTCCCAGCTTTGATCCCAGACAGAGAATTGTGTTCCTCTTGTTTGTTTGCTCTTGCTCTTCTGCTTCTCACTTGCTCTGTAATCGGCACTTGCCCATGCACTCCCCAGCCACGTGGACCCCACATGCAATGGACTGCAGCTGGGAACAGCAGCGAAACCAGCCAGATGCTGGCGGGACTGTGCTTGAACATGGAGCAGAAGTTCTGGGCAGTGGCTTTAATCCTTGCCAAGCTGAAGACACCGTTGGATGTTTTCCATGGTGAGACAAAGGGGGTGGGACCTTGGAAGGGAACCCTTTTAATTTTACACCAATACAGCTTTCCAGGATACTTCATCCTCCGTTGGGGGGGATCAGGAAATTATTTTCCCCGTGGCATCCCAAGAGCTCTACTTTCACCAGTAGCAGGTGGGGACAGAGAGGGCACCCCACCAATAACAGAATTATTCAATGGGCAGGTTTTACAAGTATTGGGATCATTATTAAATAGAAAGAACGGTGATGGCTTGAAAAGTTACCTACAAGATTAAAAGTGTCCCACATGTTTGGTTTGCAAAGGCCATGCTAAAAATGTTCAGAGTTAGAAGTATCATAAAAATGCTGGCTCCCTCCAATACTCCAAACAACTATTATCTTCATGATAATGAGTTCCCAAAAGGCTCCAGGAAAGAGTATGAAAGTCCCCAACAGTTAAATATATTTTGGATGATTTTTTTCTAAATTTAGGAAGAGCCAGCTGACTACCACCACATAATAAATGCTCATTCAAGTAAAGACTATTACATTCAAGGCTGGAATGTCAAGAGATGTTTCACTTAAAGAAATCAAATCTCTGTACTTAATGATTACTCCCTGAATTCTTTTAAAGAATCAATTCGGAAAGCATCACATTCACAAATACTCTTGGTATTAGAGCAGAAAATCTCTAGCTTGTACAGACAATAGACCCACAACTTGTGAAGTTGTCAGGCTAAGAGAATAAGTTAGCAGAGACCTATGTTTAAGCCTTTTATCTGTTATTTCTAGGAAACATACAAGGTGTCCCCCCAAAGTATGTATACACACTTTAACAGCTGATAGCTCCATTTTGAAAATAAAATGTATTTTAATAAAAAACTCCCTTTATAATTACTCAAAATGTATGGATACAGTTTTGGGGGAGACTCCATATACATAACTTTTTAAAAGTTCTACTTTTATATTTTTGATCTGAAAAAAGTAAT